CACTGTTTTCTGGTCACATTTCCCTCATAAAATCACTCATGAAAGAGGACTTCTAGAAATGCTTTAGAAAGTGGCAAAAATGATGGGACACAAGTATTCAAAGTGACAAGAAATATTTTGAGGTCTTTCGAGGGGGCACTGAAGGGAATGAATCTTTCACTGTGATGAATACTCTAAATAATTACAGTATATTTTTATTATCCTTGTAACTTTGATAAAATCACAGCTTCCAAGACTAATTTCCTCATGTTTGAAATGAGGTTAGTGCACTTCATCTATAAAGTCTGCTGTAGTCAGTTTGGGTTGCTATAACAAAATGCTACAACCTGGGTGACTTAAACAGCAAATATTTATTTCTCATAGTGCTGAAACTTGGGAACTCCAAGGTGCTCACACATTTGATGTCTGGAGAGGACCTTACTCCTGGCTTTTAGATCATTACTTTCTTATTATTTCCTCACGTTGCCTTGCCTTGGTGAGGAAATAATACACACACACACACACACACACACACACACACACACACATACACTCAGAAGGAAAGGGATTGAATCTCTCTTCTTTCTGTAAAGGCATTTGTCTCACTAGGAAGGCCTCACCCTTGAGAACTTATGTAACCTTCTTACCTCTGAAAAGCCTCATACCCAGATACTATCTTACTGGAGATTAAGGTTGCAGCACATGAACTTAAAGGAGGGAACACCACTATTTAGTCTACATAATCTCTTGTAATAAGTCATCCTACAATTAGAAGAGACGTCATACACTAGAAATGTGGCATGGGTGGGACTCAGAGTTTACATTTAGACATATTTGGTTTCCAGTCTCAGCTCTGAATTTTACACCTTTGTAACACATCTTTGTAACACTGAACTAATTTAGTATCTCTATGTATCTCTTGCCTCCACTGTCCAATTCTTCTACAATACTGCTTAGTTTTAGATCTGCTATCAAGTTTAAATGAAAATCTTGCCTATGAAGCTCTTAGGACAATGCTTAGCATAGAAAAGACCCTTGATGAAAATTTAGCTTATAAATTTTGAGAAACGACCAAAACAATCAAGATTGACAAGACACGAAATGGCATTGCTTGGTCAGTGATTTGGTAGTTGATACCAGTTAAAATTTATGTTTGACCAGAATTTTACAAGTCTTTGTCAGTTATAACATTTCCAGGGTTAAAATAGACACAGACAAATGGTATATGTGTGTGTGTGTGTGTGCGCGCAAGTGTGTGTGTTTGTATGACCAAACATGTGAATGGAGACCAAATGTACCTTGACAATCTACCCCTGCACCATTTTGGGGTCATTAGCTCAGGTTCTACTACCATAAAGAATTTCAACTAACGTGCCACTTCAAAATTTGGAATAGATTTTACTTATGCCAAAATATTTTTATTTCAATGAAACAAGGATCTAAGCCTTTGTTTTTCATGACAATTATTACCTAACAAAAATGTTTTTTTCTTTGTACACCAACAAGAGCATGTTACAATTAAATGTTGCTGACAGGAAAATAACAAAACCAACTAACCACACACACACACACACACACACACACACACACACACACACACTTCAGTTCTCAAAACCCCAAATGCCCTAAATCACAACTTGGCATTCATGCCATTTACTGTAGACTGTATCCTAAAATACTTAATAATTACATTTTATGGAAATTGACATTGCTTTTCCCTGCAGTCATAGTGAGTCAGATGAAAAAGTAAATCCAAGTTTGCTCTCATATGACCAGAAGTGTCAAGGTGACAAATCCATTTGATCATCCGTAAGAAAGCAAACTCTACAATGCTTAAAAGCTGGTTGTTCAGTGCATTGCACTAGACTTGAATAAATCCTTTTACTTGTGGATTTAACAATCATGGCAGTCATATCTTCTCATAACCACTAATATAAAAGCTTTTGCTACAATTCTATACTATTTAAAGGAGAAAGAAAAAAATGCACAGTACAAAAAATGTCCCTGAGATTTGGGATGGAGTTCAGTATGTTTCAGGGAAATTTAAGCTTCCAGAGGGCAAGGAGTAATTCTGAATGCTTATGGGTGATAAAACACAATCTAAACATTACTCATAATTTGATGCAATTAACAAGCAGCCCATGGACTTGGAAATTCAGGAGGACTATGTCTGTATGAGAATTTCAATTAGTAGTAGTTTTCTCTTTAAATTCCACTGAAAATGTGCTATAAAGAGCTATGGGATTTATGTCTGCACAGTGGGTAGATATATGTATTTAGAAAAGAGATACCAGGAATATATTCCTGAAAATTGACTTTAAAATCTTGAAAATGATCTGATTTCTAGACTTTCAAAGGAAATCGGTAAAAAACAATAGAACCCTGTGAAATGAGTGATGTCTTTGGTGAAGCCGTGCCTCTACCCATGCTGGACAAACTTGTGTCAGGCTGTAATTGTTTTGTGATTAGTGTAAATGAATCTTGTTCACCACATAGATTCAGTATTGATTTTTAATTAATGATAATGTCTTGAATTTATATGCTTACCATCTTGGGAAATCTGAATGTATTATAGTTGATGAATTTCAGCTTACCTTCGTACACTCCTGCTGAAGGTAAAAATCAAGTATTTGAACTGCATTCTGAGGAGGGAAAAGTGAGCCAGAAGGTGGTCAGGAAGAACCCAGAAATCTAATAATAGAACCACCAATTAAAATCTAGTAGATTTTACTTGTAGTTCTGTCTGTTTCCTATCCTAAAAACATTTAGTTTGTTGAGTCAACTTCAATTATTTCTTTGGAAAAGGAAGATGATCAGAGCAATTTTTTTGAAGTTTTTATTTTTAACATAAGATTACATTTCTTCTCATTATCTTAATAGCATACAAGATATATATCATGGGCAGTTTTACTTATACAACCCCTTGCATCTTTTTAGTGGGCATCTGTAAAATCTTTGGAATCTTCTAAGCCACACGTATCAGACTTATCTCCTGATAATGGAGCAATGCAAAACTTAAGTTCTGACATTAGGTAGACAAAATTATGATTTTTTTCAAGGACTAAACTGTCCGTCAGCTACTTGGCATTGTTTGCCAAGAGAGATGAAATAATATTCCCAATAAGCTCATGCTCAGAACCCTTCCTCCTTGTACCAGTGGAAGATCACTGCCATTCCTCAGCCACAAAAATATTGATTTCTCTCCCTTTCTCCTATTACAATTTCTGTCAGTTTTTCCTTTGGATTTATTCCTTTGTCCCTCTGTACTTTGTGTACTGCTGCTCTGCTCTTCGTGTATAATGCAGCAATCCCATTTGTTTCTCTAACTTTCTCAATCCATTTTAGATTAACTTTCATGATAAATCCCAGAAATACGCAGAATATGTTGAATGTCTATCTTCCCATTGCCCAATTTAAAAAATACCACATTTGAGATATAGTTGAAGCCCTTCTTTGAATTCCCTCTCTAATCTCATTTATTTCCTTCTTTCCTCAATGTAATGAATTCAATAATTATTCATCCATCATTATCTATCAATCATCTATCTATCTAATTGACCTATATCTATCTATCTATCTATAGAGAGAGAAGGAAGGAGGAATCAAGAAAATGCACAATCTTTTTTGTTTTGGAAACTGTTGTTTTTTCATTGTGGCTTTGAGATGTTCATTATGGCTTTGAGATTTATCCATTTTACTATGTATGGCTTTGTTCCTCTTCGTTTCATGGCTATCATCCATTAGGTCCATGTTCTCTAATTTACTCATTCTCCTGGGAATGGATCTTGAGAGAGCTTATGATATTTTCCTCCAGTACAAATAGCTGTGCAGTATACATCTTTGAACATATTTCCTTGATCACATTTATGAGAGTTCTCCAGGGAATACGCCCAGGGAGCTGAATGTGGAGAGTAGGATTGCTAATTCTCAAATTTGTCTTTAGAAAAATGGCCGTGCCAACTGATACGCTCCACTTACCTGCCACACCGCACCTCTGCAATCACTCCTTATTAGCCTCTTCATGGCCTTTCAGTGGAATTTCAGCCTCCCCAAAGAAAAAAGTGTGTTTCCTTGATTCTCTATCTGAATGGATCTCTCTTCAGGGGTTCCCGTTTCTGTGTGAGGGGATCATGCATTCACACACTTTTGGACTACTTGCTGAAATATAGACTTGAAAACACAGATGAGATGCTGGATATGGAGTGGGCAGAAGGATGCCATAGTCAATTTAAGGCCCGCCCAGTATATTATGGCCCACCCAGAATAAACTCCCTGAGTTTCCCACATTACTTTATATTCCTGAGAGTCTGTCTCATAGCAACCAAAAGCAAGGTTTCTGGGACCGGCCTTCGTGCGACTCCCAGTGCCATCACTCCCGGTTGTTTGGTCAAGTTGTTTGTGAGCAGTTGCCTTAGTTTCCCTTGTTGGTACAATGAGAGAAACACTAGTATTTTTCTTCCTAAGGCGATGGTGAGAACTCGATGAAATAATGTACATAAAGCTCTTAAGCAGTTGTTCACGTAAGTTCCTGTTGCATAGTTGAGGAAAGTACAAATAAGGAACAGTTAGGTCCTGCCTACCGGGTGCCAAGCACTGCTTTAAGAACTGGGGAGATGGTATTGTCCTTCATGTCTCTCAGTTAAATTGGTGACTGGGCCCAGCCCTTAGCACATTGCCTGCCACACAGTGGGTACAATGTTGAATTAATAAATGAAGCAATTGATTCTCCTACAGCAACATAAATGCCCAAAGTATGTTTTGAGGCAAGATGGAGCAAGAAAATTACAACCATGACAGCTTAACTGCCTCCATGTTAGTGAATTCTTATTCCTCTCTGAATATTCATTCTGTATGATATCAGCAGTAGCTGCAAGTAGCTATAATATTTGAGTCATCAGAGCAGTCTATTCTCTCACAGTGCGGAATACCAGGGAATTATTTCTTGGATCCTTTACTTTTCTGCAGAGTAACTTTCCTATCTTTTGATTGTCACTGATCTTTTCTTTCCCCTTGAACTTCAGGTCTCATTGTCCATGAAGGAGCTGCAGTTTACAGAGTGTTTAAGCGCTGGCGAGCCGTTAATTTGCACTGGGATGTATTAAATTATGACAAAGCCACAGACATCGAAGAAAGTAGCCGGGGAGAGTCTTCCACAAGTAGGACTTTATGGTTGCCCTTGACGGCTCTGCGGAACAGAAACTTGGTCCACCCAACGCAGCTGACCTCCCCGAGATTTCAGTGTGGCTATGTGCTACTCCACCTGTTCAATCGGATAAGGCCCCACGAAGATTTGTCAGAAGATAACAGCTCGGGGGAAGTCGTGATGAGAGTGACTTCGGTGTGACAAACATATACAGTGACAGTGTGGACCACTCTGCACATTTTGGAATGTAATTGCAATGAATGGTGAAACCATAGCACTTCTACAAAACATACATCTATGAACTTTTTATGCTTTTTATATGAACATTTGAATTGCAAATACATTTTTCTGAAAAAAAGATTCCTGTTGTTCTTTGTTCTTCTGATTTGTCACATCTTTTATAAGTTCGTACTTGAAATCATTATACATATAAGTTAACTACTTGGTAAAAAACAATGGTGACGGTTATCCTTAAGGCCAAAACTATTTTTTCTTGCTTATTTTAAATATATTTTTATCAAACTTTTGTGGCACGTGTAATTTTTCTGACACAGTTCAAGTGGGCAAGGTTTAGAATGCTGTGGGCAGGTTGCAAAGTGCCTGTAAGGACGCACAGCAGAGCTGTCCCAATAGAGCTTCTCATTGGTTCTCCTGGTGCCTGAGGCAGGTTGGCAGATGCGACCATGACTTATTTACTATGATGCAAAACAACTTGTCACCAAGAATGCAAGATGCAAGTTGTGTAAGAATCACAGCTTGCTTTCTAACTTCTGAAACAATGCAGAGAGCTTCCAAAAAGATAAAAATGAGTTAAGCAACACACCTTTGCTGCAGTTCATATCACATAGGCAGGACATCCTGAATATGAACCTGCAAAGTTCACCGCAATGTTGCATTGTATGTAACTCACCCAAAAAAATCATACTGCCTCAAAAAAAATACTGCTCCATATTTGTATAGCCCTCTAATAGGACCTATCACAATTAATTTGTTTAATTATTAGTGTCTTGAATTGTATGAGCACCACCTTAATTAGATTTTCTTTCTCTGAAAGCTTATATATCTTCTTAATCATTTAAGCACTAATCCTATTACTTAGTTTAATGAAGTTCTCTGAAATATGTTTGTTCACCAGCAGTGAGAAGTCTTTTCCTTCAGCAGATGACTAGGTCAGTATTTTTAAATGAAAAGAGGAAAAGAAAAATGCAGCTATTGACTTCCCAGGAACAGGTTGCTAACCAGGAGTTTGCAGAGATTTCCATCCTACTGGATATATTTCTCCTCCTATTGTTATATGGATACGCTCCTCCTCCTATTGGACATATTTAGCACATTTTAATGGACAGTGACAAAGATCAGAAAACAGGTGAGCATGCTCTCCTAAGAAATGCAAGTTGAACATGCTGGTGGTTTACAGTGAAGAAGGACTAGATTTAAAAATACATACAATGCTTTATTTTTTTCTAAAAATGATATTTGATTAATAATTGAATAATTCATGTTTACAAGCAGCCCCATGTTTCTTCCACAGTAAATTTCCCCAATACTTTAAATATCATTTTTTCCAGTTAAAAAACTTTGTCACAAATGACAAGGTGTGATGATTTACAGAAATGTAAAGTGTGAGTCACACAGTCACGCAACAGCGAAAATTCAACCATTACTTGGGGCAGATCTAGATCTAGAAGGTGGGAGTATGAAGCAAACTTCGTGGAGTTTTTTGCTTGTGTTAAGCTGCTATTACACAAATACATCCAGAGTTGGGCTCTAGGACAGTTTAGTTACTAAGGCAAATTGTTAACATCATTTAATTGAGAAAAATTTTGGTTACTATTGACATTATGATGTGATAATATGATATCGACATTAAAAATACTGGAGTAAAGACTTTAGGCACAGATTCCACTACCAGTGCTCCAGCACATAGCAAAGCCTGCCCTGTGAGGTAGCACACAGCACTGCATTCTTACCAGCTGATTGAAAACAAGGGACGGAGAGCGAGACATCCCCCGTCTAGTGTGTGCAGGTGTGAGTGTGTACACGAGTTGGAGAAGCTAGGAGATGAGATGAGTGTTGTTATTGGGGTGACCAACCTGAGAGAAGGCCTCCCTCCTTCTAAGTACCCTTTCTGCTGAATGTGCCTCTGCCTACATCCTACATGACCCCTAACCCTATTCCGTAACACAAACACACAAATCACCAGTGCTGTAATAAGAACCTAGCAGAATTTCCACGCAGCAAAATGTATCATCTCATGAAAAAATTGCATAGAAACTCAACAAAGATGGGAAGATTGCATCTAGAGAATGGAATTCACTGTTTCTGAATAACATGAGTTATGAAGACAGAAATAATAACTTTTCACTTGTAAATGCCATAATCCAAACTCAAGCTGCTTTGAATGCCAAAAACATTTATGGCAAGGAAGTGTGTTGGAAATACCTTAATTATTATTTTCAAGGGGCTGGGGATTTAGCTCAGCGGCAAAAGCACCTGCCTGGCAAGCGCAAGGTCATGAGTTCGGTTCCTGGTACCGGAGAAAAACAAAAAAAAAAAAAACAAAAAAAAATTATTATTTTCAAAACCTTTTCCAATAGTATAAAAATTAAAACCTATATGCAGGCTGTCTCTTTTGAGTTACTAATTTATAGGAAAACCACTTACAGAGCACCTCTGTGTTCCGGGCATTGTTAGCAGCAGGTGATAGGATGGGTCCGGTGTGTAGTGAGACGTGTGTGGGCATCACATGGTAGACGTATGGTGGGGTAAGAAAAGTGGCAGGTCAGGGACATAGTGAGTTGTCCCTGGGGCACTTGGGGAAGGTGTCACCAAAGAGCTGACAGAACTTGGATTGTGAATCAGGAGTATACATTGCAAATCAGACAGAAAAGAGATGGATACATATTCCAGCAGTGGAGGGGTCTCATATGCAAGAATTCAGGGCAAAGACACAGTCCCAGCATAGGGGGTTAGCAAATTTCTGGGACTGCATTCCACCTGAGTCATGAGAAGATAGTGTCGAAGGAGGATGAGGTAAGATTTGGCAAGGCCATTTCTGCAGGATGGATGTTCTCTCCCTATCAACTGCTGTGAATTCAATAATGCAATAGAAATATCACACACTTTATGTGCTACCCTGCTTTCCCCCACATCCTGTGAGCTGCAGACCCCATAACTCCGAGGAGGGAAGCACATCACAGATCTCATACAGTATAGGATCATTTTGTCAGTATTAAAAATGCCTCTAAATACTTCCCAGAGGAAATAAATTTTGTTATCTGATTTTTCCTAGATAGAAAATTTTAATTTTCATTCTGTATATCCCGTGAACAGAAAACCTATCAAAACAAACCGAGTTTTTGCTGCACTGCCTTCGCTTCAGCCTGTGTAGGACTCTCTCTGCCTTTCTATTTTCCCCCATAGGGCAGCAATGTTGGTATGGCCTGTTGTTTCTAATTACGTGCATATGCTACTTCCTCCCTTTTCCAGGGAGTTAAACAGGAAAATAAGCCCAGCTTTGCCTGCGCAGAAGTAAATGAGCTGTCATCTATCAGTTGCTATGTCTGTTTAAAGTAGAGGTCATGCTTTGTCCATATAATTCTTTATAGTTTTTATTTTACTTACATATCAGAATAGCAGTAGTTTACAACTACCTGATATTTGGCACTTTTCTTGCCAAGTTTGTTTTGCAAACTAAGGTGTGGCAAAGATTGATCTTATTCACTATTACACATTACAATAATGCAGTATAATATTTATTATAAAGTGTACATAATACAATATAAAATAATGTTATATAACAAAACTATGCTTGTATAAAATATTTTAACATTCTATATATTAAGAAATAGTTGTTTAAGACTTTAAAAGGATATTTTCGATAATTAGCTTAGTTCTAGTTCATCAATTTAGAGAAAAATCCCATCATGTGAGCATGATACAGAATCACAGCTGATGCTATAATTTATAGCAAAGCACAAAATTTCTGAGCCCCAGTAGTATGTACAGATTAATTCATACCTTTCACAAAGTGCAATCTTCCACACCATGGATTTATCTTGTTAATTAGTCAAGAATTAAAGATGTTTTAAAGTATTTTTCTCCTAACCCCCTCCCAAAAAACCATGGGTACTAGGAGGCATTGGGAGAATGAAAATAATGTATAATTTCCATAAAGTTTTGATGGTGTTTTTCAAAATTATAAACCTTAGCCCAACATCTTTTTTCTTTTCTTCTTTTCTTTTTTCTTTTCTTCTTTCTTTTCTTTTCTTTTCTTTTCTTTTTTTCTCTTCTTTCTTTTTCTTTTATGGAAAAGATAAAATTTCATAGTAAAATAAGAGGAGAATAATAATAATTAATACACAGTGTATTGCTATCTTCAAAGTAGTTACTCAGAGTATAAGATGGGCATAAAAATTCTCCAAAGAATATTAACACAGACCTTTTTTTTTCAATAAACTAAAAGAAACTAGTAGTATAACTGTACTGTATTTTGTTTTTTCTCTTTTCCCTTCTTTCCTTTCCTCCTTCCCCATCCTAGTTCCTCTTTTCTTTTGAACAATTTCTTCCCATTTCACAGTGTCTAGTGTACATCTTGGTCCTTATTTATTCATTATTTTCTCTCACTGGGGAGACAATATGATATTTACACACTCGAGTCTGATTTATTTCACTTTAGAGTATGGTCTCAAGTTGCATCCATTTACCTATAAATGTTTCAAGTTTATCTTTCTTTATGGCTGAATAATACTCTATTATATAAAAAGACCACGTCTTTTTTATCCATTCCTTGGTTGATGGGCATTTGGGTGGTTTCCAAGATTTAGCTATTATAAATTGTGGGGTTATAAACATAGGTGCACAAATATTGGTGTGGTATTATGCTTTTCATTCTTCTGGGAAAGTACCCAGAAGGGGAACAGCTGGGTAGAATGTGACCTCTAATCCTAGTTTACTGAGGAATCTCCACAATGATTTCCATAGTGGTTGCACCAGTCTGCACTCCCACCAGCAGTGGAGAAGTGTTCCTTTTTCCCCACAGCCCCTCGAGCATTAGTTATGGGTTGATTTCTTGATGATAGACATTCTTTCTGGGGTGAGATGGAATATCAGTGTTGTTTTAATTTGTGTCTCTAGATTGACCAATGATGTTGAACATTTTTTCATATATTTATTTGCTATTTGTATTTTTTATATTCCTCTTTCATAACAAGTCAGTGGTCCCTAAATTTTCTTGCAACCTTTCATGTTTTTGAGTTTTCTATATACAAAATGGCTTTCCAGGTGAAATCATCTTTTTCTGGTACAACAAGTAGACAAAAAAAAAAAAAAGACTAGCTTAAAAATGCACATAGAAAGAT